AATCATATATTACATTTTTAGACAGATATATATGTTTCTAGAATACCCATTTTATTTCATTGATCTCCTTGATCATTTCTGTGCTGGTGTCATGTTGTTTTAATTGCTGAGACTTTATAATGGATTTAATTTTTTTAATATTTTATAATAGATCTTGACATTTAAAAAAATAAATAAAATAAAGTAAAATAAAATAAAAAACAAATAAAGGGCCATGGGTTTCAATATTCAGCATTTGATGTGCATATATAGTCATATAATTCATGTAATTTTCCTGTTTTTCGTGTGCTCACGAATCTGAGTTATATGTGGCAACCCCCAGTTCCACCCTTCTCCAGAAAGTAAACCTCCCAACTTTTCCTGGCTTAGGAGAGGGACAGTATCCCTGTATCATGGGGTGAAAATGGAAATTTAGGGATCTGGTTTCTTTTAAAATAGCTATCACCTCTAAGTTTATTTCCCTTTCACTCCAAAATCCAGAGGTGTCAGGGCTTCCAGTTTTGGGGGCTTTTGAAGATTCTTTACTGCTGACAAGATTGATTCTTTTATTTTATCTACTGCTAGTTTAGGATTGAGCTTTTCCATGTCTGCTAACTGTTATCACTGTCAAAGAAAAACTGTACTATGCAGGGTTAAACAGACAGGAAGACTTTATTCAAGGCTATTGCAATAGGGGAGAGAGATTGAACTCAACTCCCCTGCAACAAAAGATAGCTTTCAAGTGCTGGGTGGGGCTCACTGCATTGTGCTGGAGGGTGTTTTGGGAGGGCTGGTTCCAGTGATTGCACCATCTGTGCTAGCTAACTGTCCGTCTGTCCTCTGTGCTTTGGAGTTAGGCCCCTCCGCTCCCACAGAGACTGGGAGATAAGTGTGCTTTCTTGATAGTGACATTTCCAAGGGATGGTTCCCAGGTCACTGAGGAAGAGATTCCTTGATTATAAAACTGTCAAGATCCTGGGAGAAGATTTACATTTCAAATGAGCAGAGAAAATTTTAACATTGCAAGTTTTCCAAAGTAAAGCTCTTTAAGAAAATGGAGGCACAGGGTCCACAGTCAGGAAGAAACTGTCTAAAGTTTAGTCAAGTCGAAGGCAATGTAAACCTCATCCTCATCTTGATTACCACTCCTGCATCCAATGGTTTTCAACTTCTGAAATTTTGTTACTATTATTTGCTTTCCACTCTTCTCTGTCCTTGTGGATTTTATGTCTTTTTAAAAATCATTTTACTCTTAGTAGTGTTTTAGGAGGGAGTGAAATTAGATGCATGACTTTAATATATCTTTAACCAGAAGCATGAGAACTATCTAAGAAAAATATGTCATATGTCACTAAACTGTTTGTAGATGTGAATATTGACAGTTTTGGATTTCTGTAAAATAAGAGTTTAGGGACAAATCTTGTTGCAAGAGAGCAGCTAAGAGATTGATCTACACAGAAAGTCTTTTTTATTTTTTATTTTTTTGCCATGAACTATGGTTACCACTTAATATAGAAAAAGAAGTAAAGCTTTAAAAATATTTTGATGAAGCCAATACTGTACTAATTTGGTCTGTTATGAGAGATAAAGAGGGGAAGTTAGGGAATTGTGAGTGTTAGTTCTAACAAGGCCCTAGGGAACTCTGTCCCATGATTCCCTGTCTGTAGATGCCCAAATCAGAGCACGTTCACTGTCCTCCTGGTATTAACCTGAGAGCTAGCGACTCTGTGTTCCTGAGTCTCTCAGTTCAGGTTTCAAAATACAAGTATAAAATACTTCAAAATTGCTGAAGACCTGGGTTGACTGGGGCCAGAGTACCATGTGTCCTAGATCATCCTAAGTACTCAGTACCGAGCGTCTTCTGGCCTTCAGCTGATGTCTTCTCTGTTCCAGCTTGGCTTTACAGTCCTTTGTTGATCTCTCGAGCTCCTCATCTGGAATCCTAGTCTCTTTCTTTCTCCCTTTCCCTCCCTGAACTTATTTTTAGCTTGAGTTTAGCAATCTGACTCTTGATTCTGGCTATTTACCATCTGCATTGATTATTCTTGACCCCGAACCCTGATTTCAGTTAGTCCCATCACAAACGTTGTCAGGAAGAACCTCAGCTCTTCTCTCCTTCCTCCAAAATTAAGGACATCTGCAGTGCCTTCTCAATAACCAGAGTAGCAGTGAAAAAAAGAAACTCGAGACAGACAGTTATAGGCCAGCGAGTCCTGCTTTTGCAATAGTCTCTCCATCATGTCCAAGCCAGTTCTTACCTGTGAGCAGACACAGTAAATGAAGAAGCAGTGGAGGTAAGTTAAGGGACCTCATTAACCTGGGATAACAGAAGCAGAGATTGCCTTAAATTTCTGGAAGCACATCATTGTTGTCTCTAGGATCTACAGCGTTTTCTGAGGCTATAGACAGGGTGAAGGATGAGAAACCTTTTTGGGAAAGGAAGCACTGGGTGGAGCAAGAGATATTAGCACCAGGCCCCTGAGTAGAGAAAGAAAGAACAAAAGGTAAAATGCTGGACTTACAGTGGAGAGTTTTGGAGACTTTTTAGAGGATGTGAAGAATTTTCTAGTGTTGACTGACTGGTGCCATAGACTGAGGGACCTCTGTAAGAATAGTCTAATCAAGGCATTATATGCCAACAGAGGTAACAGAAGAGACGTATCTCTGCCGTGAAATAACTTGCCATCTCTTTGAGAACCTTAGTGGAATTGAATGAACTCGCTGAAGGCAGGATCTGGATGTCAGGAACACATGACGTGTTTTGATGGTCTATGTCACACTCCTCTTGACAAGATACAACACACTTGGGTCTTAAGAGAGTGTCTTGCCTTCCAGGATATGGTTATTAGAATGTACCCAGTCAGAGGAGTCTGATCTTTGTGAGGCATCACATTCCCCATTGGGAGACGGAGTAGAGAATAAAATAACTTGTGGCTTTCTGATCTCTCAGAAGAGTTACAAAGCTCTGAGATATGTTCCTCAATTAGTGTGGGGTTGAGAGGTAGATAAATATGCGATTTTTTTAGTTCTCAGATGTTGCTCTTACTAAAGTTTGAAGTATTAACTTCAAAATATGAGCGATGCATTAGTACATCTGTTGTTTTTAAAAGATTTATTTATTTTTAGAGAGAAGGGAAGGGAGGAAAAGAGGGAAACATCAATGTGTGGTTGCCTCTCAAGCGCCCCCTACTGGGGATTACATATGCCCTGACTGGGAATCAAACCAGCAACCCTTTGATTCACAGGCTGGCACTCAGTCCCCTGAGCCATACCAGCCAGGGTTGCATCAGTAAATCTTTTATCAATTTGAAGGTAAATTTTTCTTCTAGGTGTGGACTTTGAATAGAAACTGGGAATAGGAACATATTTAGATCTATAAGATTTTCTGAAGATTTTTTGTTTATTTATTTTTAGAGAGGGGGGAAGGGAAGGAGAAGGAGAGGGAGAGAAACATCACATCAATCTGTGGTTGCCTCTTGCATGCTCCCTACTGTAGACTTGACCCTCAACCCAGGCATGTACCCTGACTGGGAATCAAACCAGTGACCCTTTGGTTTGCAGGCCAGCACTCAATCCACTGAGCCACACCAGCCAGGGCCTAGATCTATAAGATACTAATTACAAAAAATAGTAAAAAAAAATGAACACCAAAAAAAAAACAAAAGAAAAATGAAATGACACCAGACTTAACAGAACAGGCACCGGTCTGAGAGCCTGGAGACCCTGATCCTTGTGTCATATCTTCCTCTAAGGCACAGTGTGAACTTCCCTTTTTTGAACCTTAATTTTTAATTTTACAATTCGTTTATTTTTCTGAAGCTTAACTTATTCATCTTTGAATTAAATGAAGAGTTCAACTGAGTGAATTTTCCTTAAGCCTTATCGAACATTAAAATACCTGAGGAGGGCTTAGTTTTCATTTTCAGTTTTAAATACATATACCCAGACTGTATCCTAAAGAATTTAACTCAGTAGGTCTGAGGTTTCTGTATCTTTAATAAGCACCTCACTTAGTTGAAAAACTGGTCCACTGACCAATGTTTGGGGACCTCTGGACCAGATCCTGTAGGCTGCACTAGTTCTTAAACTTTGTTGCTTTTTTTATAAAAGACAAGTATACAATATAGGAAGGGTAATTGAAGCTAAAGATATTAAACTAGGAATATTGAGGGGTTAAATGTAAACATAGTGATATAAAATCACTTTCTATCTGTATTGATTGATGATGCAGTTTATGATGCCAAGGCTGTGAGTATGAATTCTGCCTCAAATATTTACAAGCTGTGGGTGCTTGTACAAATTACTCAAACATCTTTATCCTCAGTTTTCTTCTCTGTACAGTGGTAATAACAGTAATCTCTGCTGCCCAGGGTTGTTTAAGGATCACAGGTGGCAATATGTATGAGTGCTTAGTAGAGGGCCTGACATAGAGCACGTGGCTAGTAAATGTTAGCTACAAGATGATAATGATGGCAGGGACAAAAAATCAAACGGTGAAAAAAATGCAGAACTCCATAGTTTCTATTTCAGAGGAAATGATGAGGAAATAAAGGGACGTGAGTCCTTCATATTCCTTCATTCTAAAATGAGATATTGTAAGTATTTTAAAAAGAATTTTGTATGGGTATAGGGGCTACCAAGAGAATGTGAGATTTAGTTCACCTCAGTGTACTCATGTATCCATGTTACTGGAATGATGAAATTGATGTGGGGCTGTAGACCTAGTTCAAGGCTTGGTAATCCCCAGGCTTGAACATGCCCAGAGCCTCCTTAGTAGAGTACCCTCTGTGTAAAAGATTGACCAGAGGGAAGGAGAGAGGAAAGGAAAAAAAATAGGGTCCTAAGGAAGAGAGAAAAAGAAGAAAGTAGGGTCAGATTGGAGGTAAAGGCAGGATTGGGAATAATAATTAATTTAAAGGGAGATTTGGGAGTTAGGAGATTTGGAAGTCAGCAACACGTAGAGTTCTAGAAGAAATGTAGCACTCTCACTGTCCTTCTTATCTTCCGGAGGCTCCAGAGTCATGGAAAACCAATCCTGCCTCTCTGAATTTTTCCTGCGAGGAATATCTGGGCCACCTGAGCAACAGAAGTTATTCTTTGGTATTTTCCTATGTATGTATCTTATTACCTTGACGGGGAACGTGCTCATCATCCTGGCCATCGGCTCTGACCCACACCTTCACACGCCCATGTACTTCTTTTTGGCTAATCTGTCTTTAGTTGACATGGGTTTAACATCCTCCACAGTTACCAAGATGCTGGCGAATGTTCAGACTCAGCATCATACCATCTCCTACGCCGGTTGCCTCACACAAATGTATTTCTACCTGATGTTTGGTGATCTGGACAGCTTTTTCTTGGCTGTGATGGCCTATGACCGCTACGTGGCCATCTGCCGCCCTCTGCACTACTCCGCAGTCATGAGCCCCCGGGTCTGTGCCCTGCTGCTTGCCTTGTGCTGGGTCCTCACGCATGCTGTTGCCCTGACTCACACCCTCCTCATGGCTCACCTGTCCTTCTGCGTTTTTGGGGAAATAGCTCACTTTTTCTGTGACATAACTCCTGTCCTGAAGTTGTCATGTTCTGACACCCATGTCAATGAGTTGGTGGTTTTTGCCTTAGGGGGCACAGTACTCATTGTCCCCTTTATTTGCATTGTCATCTCCTACATCCACATTGTGTCAGCCATCCTGAGGATCCGAACTCCTGGTGGGGCGGGCAAAGCCTTTTCCACCTGCAGTTCCCATCTCTGTGTTGTCTGTGTATTCTATGGGACCCTCTTTGGTACCTACCTGTGCCCTCCTTCTGTTGCTTCCGAAAAGAAGGACATTGTAGCAGCTGTAGTGTACACTGTGGTGGTCCCCATGTTGAACCCCTTTATCTACAGCCTAAGGAACAAGGACATGAAGAGGGCCCTTAGGAGGCTCCTCAGTCATGGCAGAGTTTTTTCTTCTTAGACATAGTGGTAGCGACCTTTAATGAAAAGACATCGGCTTGGAGTCAGACAAACCTGGCGTCAGTTTTGGGTCTGCCATATGCTAGCCATAAGATTGCTAACCTCTCTGAGCTACGTTCTAATCTAAATGGAGATAATAATCTCTAATAAGGTAACTTGGAGGATTATCTGAGATTAACAATGAAATGCATCTAGTATAGTGGCTAATAGTAGTAAGTTTTCAATAAATGATAGCTGTTATTATTACTGTTGTCACTCTTCCTCCTTCCCCCACTCAAAAAGGTAAAAATCTTTTCCCTGAAATTCATTCATTTAACAAATATATCCTGGACACCTACTTTTTGCTGGGAGCTGTTGTAAGTGCTAGGGCTTTAGCACAGAACAAGACACATGCCCATGACCCCTCTGAGATCCTGAACCTGTTGCTCAGAGTACTCAGTCAGTCCTGCCTCCCGGTTCCTCTAGATGGTAGTTTCTCTAGATAGCCTTCTAGTGTCTTCCTCCATTTGGACCCTCAGGGAATCTCAATCCATTGACATTACAGTACATGTTTAAACTCCTTTTGGGGCTGGATTTAAGTTCTTTCCCACAGACCTCAAGCAAAGTAGGAGATGAGGCTGGGTGTCCACTTTGTGACCACAACGTTACGAAGATCTACCATGGGGCACTGCTGCCTATCACTGTTCGGTGATGTAACATCCTTGGCTTCCACCCAGCCAAAATTGTTACCACTGTATGCCAAGTTCCAAATATATTCCTCCCTTGGTACGCCCAGTTGCACTCACTCCCAATCCCGAAGTTTTCACCTCTGTTCCTTTAAGGACACCCGTTTCAAACAAGGTTAATTAAATGTTGATTTTAAAATGATTCACACTCATGTACAAATTATTTATGAATTTTTGCATTTTGGTGGTGTAATGGGAGTGGGATATGCTTTTAATGGAGATCAATGTGGGTGGTGGTGATGAAGAGCTTCCTGGTGCCCCTTACCTATTAGGGTATTTGCCTTCCTCCTTCTTGGAACCCTTTATTAAAAAGCAAATGGTCAGAACTTGTTTCCTCACTTCATTAAGACTGTTAAACCTAATCAAAATTACTCCAAGTGCTTAGCCTTCCACTGTGCTCTTAAATATCTGTTCAGAGCCTGAAATCAAGAACAATCCTTTATTCTACTACCTAGTTCCCACTGATTACCAAGACCAGTCTAGTCTGGTTTTAGAGATATTTTCTTACCTATCCCCTGTGCAGTTGTCTTCATTCAAACACACATTACCTGTTGCCTGGTGTACAATGACCTTCTGATTGAGCCCCCTGTCCCTAGGCTCTCCAATCCCGCCAGACCGTCTCACACATTGGTAACATGAATGTAGCCTTCCCCATGTTTAATCTCTACTTTGCCCCATCCCCAGCCAACAGTACTACATCACTTGCAAGGCAGTGTCTAAGCTCCCTAACAAGGCATTGTAGCCCCTTCATAATATAGTCCTTGTCTGCCTGCCCAGACTCATCTCTTGATGCTCCACTGACGCATACACACATATAATTTATTTTTATTAAATTTTTTTTATTGTTCAATTACAGTTGTCCCCCCATTACTCTCCCCTGCCCTGCCCACCCCTCCTTCCCACTTTCAGTCCCCACCCTGTTGTCCTTGTCCATGGGTACTTTATACATGTTCCTTGACTTGAATTACTTCACACATGTAATTTAGCAATCCCCATGTTTTTTATATTTCCCTAGTATTTCAGTGCCCCAGTTCCTTTTGTTCTCTCTGCCCAGACAGCCATTTCTGCCATTATATTATAATCCTGAGTGTCCTTTAACACCCAACCGAAGAACTCCTTTCCCTGTGAAGCTTTTGCTTTACAGGCAGCATTGACTATATCCCCTTTCGTGCTGTCATTTATTATAAGAATGTCATTGTCTCTAAGCCTCAGTTTCCTCAACTGAGACATGCATATAATAACAGTATATGTTTCATAGGATTATTAGGATTAAAGGAGGTAATACAGGTAAAGCTTTCAATAAAGCCCTTGACATATAGTAAACATGCATAAGCAGTTAGTAGTAGTAGTATTATATGAAAGCACTTTTGAATACTCATACATATTTTTTAGTATGCCTGTCTCTAGGATGTTCCCTTCATTTGCATGGAGGTCATGTTTTTATCTAGCTCTGTGTGACCAGTGCTAGGTCCACTGACATATAGTACTTCACTTCCTAAATGGCTATTGAATTACAGAAACAACAAGAAACAGGAACTCTTACTACTTTTCTGGTATTTTTCTGATTAACTCCAACTTTTCATCATTAATGACAAGTAAATTAAATTTTATGTGTACTTGAGTTCCCTCCTGATTTCATTTATAGCTTCTTCCCTCCGCCCCAATTAAGGATCTTCAAAAATAATAATAAATGCAACACTTAGGGTTTTCTATTTTTCCTTTGAAAGCTAAGTGGTTCTAATTCTCTAGTAGATCCTCTACACTTTTCATATGTGACAAAATAGGATCATTTTTACTCTTAAAATTTATATGTAAGAGTGGAAATTTTACATGTATAATAATATATTATCCAAAGCTACAGTATAAATACTGGAGTGCCTAGTTCTGTGATGTTGTGATTTTTCTCCCCTGAGAAAAACCTGTCTATTGCTGTTAGACTTTAACTTTTGAGAAAGATACACACTGGTCAGTTGAAATATCAGTGCCTACTAACCTCCAGAATATTTGTAAACTTGTGAGTGTATCACCACAATTTTTTAAAAATGTAGCAAACTTTGTTCTAAATCCAGTGAGATGTGTTCACTAGGGAAGGTTATGAGACAGCATTGGCATGAGTGAGGGGTGATGCCCCAGATAAACTGCATACTTCCAAAGCAATTTCCAGAAGTTCTATTTATGTGTTAAATCAGTATTGCAATTACCAGTTTGCATTGGGCTGTCTTAAACCAGGGAAAGCCGGTCTCATAAGGCAGGTGGTGATAAAACATAAAACATTTCCCAACAGGCAAGTAGGCTTGACATTTCTTGAGAAAAATCCACTCTTAGCAATGCCACCAGTCCATGACTAAGAATTTGAGTGACAGTGGTACTCCTTTGGAGGATGGGTCTGACAAAGGCCCAACAGAATAACAGAGATCCAGACAACAGAACTGGAGGGCCAGCAGAGAAACTGAGCCAAGTACTCATGGGTGTGTCCAGGCCAACCAAAGCCTGCTTCCTCTAGACAAGCAAGAGTATCCAGCCACATTCGGGTGTTGTTTTTGGCTCCGGAACTGGTTGAGACTGAACCTGCAGATAGAGAGAATCCATGCCTGCAGCCAAATAGAGCAGGTTGGGGTGAAGGGCGCTTTTTGTTTTTCCACAAAGTAAGCTGGGGTGCTAAAAGGCAGCTTCCTCGGCCCCACGTCCAGGGCAGCTCTCTGAGTGAACATGAGGAGCAGAGAGTAAGATGCTCTTCTGATCTGCCTTTCCTCACCCACACACCTAACAACTCACTCATCCATTGCTCCTTAAGTCATTTGGTTCTAGTTCAAGCCAGAGAAGGTGCGTAGCTGTGTCCTAGGACCCCTGATTGCTTTGAATTGCGGTTATAATTTACATGCTTTGCTCCTGTTTCACCATAACTCAGGTGTTATCTATGCAAGTTCCACTCCAAAATTCACCTCTAATGCATAGGTAGGGAAAGCTAACATTCATTATTGTCGGGCAGTTGTAATGCTAAGCCAAATTTAGCATTTCATTTATTTCAAATAAAAAAATATATTAGATGTCTTAATAGTTTTTCAATTTACCTAGAAAAAGAAATTGAGATTCAGAGGAGTTAAGTAAATTGCCAGAGGCCACACACTCTGATAGATAGTTTGCAGCTGGGATCTGTCTTTCCCAAATACTCCTCTCTCATACCTACATGGTGCTCCATCTCCCAAGTATTTGTGATCCTGTTTATTCTTTTTTTTCTTTCTTTATTTATTTTTAAATACATTTGTCTCTGCCTACCCCCCACCACTTTCCCTTGCCCCCTCCCTCCGTCCCTCCCTCAGCTCTTCCCCTTTGGTGTTGTCCATGAGTTCTTGCTATATGTTCCTTGACTTTCCCCTTCCCTTCCCTTTCCCTGCCCGCCCCTCCCTCCTTCCCTCTTGTCTCTGTTGATTTCTTTTCCTTTCAGTGTTGCTGGTCATATTTTCCTTGCATCTTTGTATTGTTATTTATTCTTAACTAAGTACAGCCTGAAGAGAACTCTGTGGTCCTTCACTGGATGACAATGAAGTTAGATTATTTGGGCCCATAATACAAACCTGGGGTCACTAAGCTGAGTAGAAATGACTTTTCAGGGAAACAGATCATGAAGATTGATACAGGGAGCAGCTAAACTCATAGCAATGAGGACTTCCCTGGAGCTACAAAGGGCACATGATACCGTTTCCTTTCCTGCCCCACCGTCTTCACCACCAACAAAAAACATGGAAAGAGCACTGAATGGGAGGTGGGGAAAGGAAAGGAGATACTTTACAAATTCCCAGTTCTGCAACCTTTCTATGCCAAGGGAGCCCTATTAGCCATTATCTTCCAACAATTCACAAAAATGAATAAATTCCCAACATCACTCAGCTTTTACTCTTCCCAGAAATCACCATTCTATTCTCTGCTTCTATGAATTTGATTATTTTTGATTCCACATATAAGTGAGATCATGCAGTATTTATCTTTTTTGAGTCTGATTTATTTCACTTAGCATAATGCACAAAGTTTCAGTCATGCAGGATGAATAATTTGTGAGATCTAATGCACAGAATGACTATAGTTAACAATGCTGCACTTGATATTTGCTGAGAGGATGGATCTTAAAATTAAGTCTTCTCATCACACACACAGAAGTCAAATAAAAGGATATCTAAGCAGAGGTGATAGATACCTTCATTAGCTTAATTGTGGTGATTATTTTATAATGTATACATATCAAAACATCAGGTTGTACACTATAAATATATACAATGTTTATGTGTTTATTTGCCTCAATAAATCTGTTTTAAAAATAATAAGAGGGGAATGGAGGCAGCTGTACTTGAACAACAATAAAAATAAATAATAAAATTAAAATTAAAATTCACTACTTATTTGGAAAAAATAACTAATAAATTCCCAGGAAATAAGAGGAGAGACATAAATTCTACTAGCTATCAGTTTTTCAGTCTAATAGACAAAAGTAGTGATCAATAATACCAAGTTAGATCTAATGATTTATGCTAAAGAATTACAAGAAAAAGAGAGAATACCTGTAACAGAATGTAATTCAACTTATCAATAATATACTGAGCACTTATTCCATGCTGGGTTCAAGACCAGGGGGCTAGCATCCAGGAATAAATGTATCTGTTACAGAGATGAGCGAATGTCATTGAGACAAAACTGTTGCCCTGTTGAAGAGTTTCTCCAGGGCCCCCTTCACGTCCCTGTTCCTTAGGCTGTAAATGAAAGGGTTGAGCAGTGGAGTGACCACTGTGTACATCACAGAGCCAATTATATTTTTGTTACTGGAGGTGCTAGATGAGGGAAAAAAATAGAGCCAAATAATTGTCCCATAATAAAGAGATACCACTGAGAGGTGGGAGCCACACGTGGACAAGGCTTTGCAGATGCTCTTGGTAGATGGAACCTTCAGGATGGTGGCCCCAATGCAGCCATAAGAGATCAAGATGCATATTAGGGGGAGAGTAATGACAGCCACTCCTACTGTGAAAATGACCAACTCATTGAGGGATGTGTCTGAGCAGGACAGCTTGAGTAAGGCACCGAGGTCACAGAAGAAATGATGGACGGTGTTGTCAGCACAAAAGGACAGCTCGGCCAGGAGAAGGGTGTGGGACAGGGCACTGGCACAGGAGAGGATCCAGGACGCAGCGACTAGTAAGATACACAGTGCCTCTCTCATGATAGTCATGTAGTGGAGGGGGTGACAGATGGCCACATACCGATCATATGCCATTGCGGTGAGAAGGAAGCTGTCCAGGTCAGTAAAAAATATGAAAAAATACATCTGTGCTATGCACTCTGCATAGGGAATGGATTGATCCTGAGTTTGCATGCTCATTAACATCTTAGGGACAGTGACAGATGAGAAACAGACATCAGTGAGGGCCAGGTGGCTGAGGAAGAAGTACATGGGCGTGTGCAGGCGGGAGTCCAGCCTGATGAGCAGGAGGATGAGCAGGTTGCCCAGCACCGTGGTCAGGTACATGCCCAGGAACAGGGCGAAGAACGCGCCCTGCTGCCCTGGCGGGACGGGGAGCCCCAGGAGGAGGAACTCGGACACGCTGCTCTGGTTCTCAGGCCCCATGGTCCTCCTCTGTCTGCTGGGGGTGAAAGGACAGTGAAAAAAGTATAATCAACAAGTATTGATCCTGGGAGATGTCCTTTATTAGGTGACATTGATTCCATTAAATATAAAACGCAGACTTCTCTAGTGAAGAAACTCAGTACCTTATCTTCAGTGGAGCTCAGGCCAGTGAAACTGAGGTAGTAGGTTTCCTAGACCTGAAGTTTGAGGCCTTTGAGGAAGGTATGGGACTATACTAGGGATTACAGGCAGGACATCATTGAGCAGGCAACTGGCCCTATTTGTCTCCCCAAGGCTCAGGGTTAAAGCTGTGGGAGTCGCTGGTCAGTGGTGATTGCAGTATCCCTGTCTTTAAGACGCAGTAATATGTGACATCAGAAAGAGCACAGAGAAGTGATGAGCACCTGTGTACATACACATGCCTGCATACACGCACCTGCTCCTGACACAGTTCTCCTCTGAACTTTATGCTGAAGTCATCTAGCCTCCCAGAATATGGACTGGTTTCTCACCTTCTCTGTGGGACACCCAGAAACCAGATCCTGGGTCTTAAACCTCTCACTGACATCAGAGGGGAAAGGCACCAGCCTGGAGTTTACTCTTCTCAGTTCACCATCTTCAGAAATGGAGATGGGAAGACTTCTTTCTGCCCACCAGGGAAAGGACCCAAGGGGACAAAACACGCAGCTCTTGAAGACCTGCATTAAACGTGTATTAATTGCTCGCTCAGTCGCCTTCTTACTCCCTCCAGGACAGATGCCCTAAGGCAATGGTCCCTAAACTTTGATGTTCAGCATAATCACCTGGGAGCTTGTTAAAGATGCTCTACCTCCAGAAATGCTCACTCTTGAGGCCAGGGGCCAGGTAACTCTCAGGCAGATGGGTGTGAGGGCAGACTTTGAGGAAGCACTGTCCTTAGAACATCAGGGTGGGTACCCTGAGTGTGAGCCCAAAAGGAGTTATGGAAGGCCTCCTTCCTGGCCTTTCCCTACCACAGCTGTGTTTCTCCTAGTTAGCTCCTAACGGGGTGTCAAGAGGGGTTTTTCTTCTCAGTGGATACTCCTTATCGGGTTGCTGCTAATAAAATGAATTCTGCTTCATGATGAAAATCCAAACAATGTGAACATGAAAACAAAGAATAAAGTATTCACACTTCCATTATTCACCTTTTGTCCTTCTAAAATGGTTTTTATTCATGAAATTTTATTTACATAAATGGGATTTATTTAAGCAGTATGTTATAGCTTTCTTTTTCTATAATAAAATAGTATTCACATTTCTGCTTCTATGCATATCATTACATAGAATACATACAATATCAATATATCAGTCTACTTAAAATTATGTTAAATTTTTAGTCAATATTTTAATTGACGTGACAAAGATTTACTGTGAAACTCTGTTAAAGATTATACTAAACCTTGAAGTGTTCCCTTTTGTTAGCTGTCTGACCAAGGCTACTTTAAAATCTCCAAAAGCATCCATTTTAATGGGTTCCATTGTCTTAGTGTCTCTGTGCCTGTGTCTCGCTCCTTTGAAAAGAAAAGAACCTAACTTCGAAAATGCCCATGAAAAAACGTGACGAATGCAAGCCCAAGGGGACCCTGTGCAAAGACAGGCAACATAGCAGCCTGTTTTCATGTACTTATAACTGAAGTTTAAGCTTATAGAATGAAATAAATGAATAAGGCAAAGTTGTTATGTAACATTTGACACATATCAGATATCAGACTCTTTCAAATGTTTTGTTTTCTAAATTCACACCTCAGACTAGAGGTTGGGCATCACCAGAGCCTTAAATGTCACTCTACCTGCATATTATATCCTAGCAAGTCTTAAATGTTTATGTATAAAGTTGAGTAAACAGACTGCATTTTGCATAGGGCAGACAAAAAAAAAAAAAAGATTAAAAGACTGGGCTAAAAACCTGAGCTCCATAATAACAATGATATGGATGGGATTTAAGACAAAGGCTATCTTGTGGGCTATTTCAAGAAGCATGACAAGTCAAGCGAGAACTTTCAGACACGAATGACATCATATGACAAAATTGTTCACTGCCTTGTCAAGAACTGAAGTGTCTTTTGTGGATATATAGACACTCTGAAATAAAGTAGTGCTTTATAACAAGTGTACAGTTTATTATACATCAAGTGTGAAATAATTGTTATTTAAAATATTAAAGTGTATTTTTGAGTGACATTAGCAAAATTACAAGTCACACTGAAATCCCACAAAGCTTCATGAAAACAAAAAAGCCACCAATGGATACGAGATGTGATTTTTTTCCAAAACGTTGGCTTCATTTGCATTGAACATAGTCTGGTGTGATTAATACAAAGCATGATATGTAGTACCTGAAACATCTGTATTACATTCAAAAGACAAAAGAAAATTGATAGTTCAAGGAAAGAACTTCTGATATTAGAGATTGACAAAAGAAATTTACTGCAGCCAGAATCAATCTGAAAATATCAACATAAACCACAGATTACTACTGAAAGAATGTAAGCATTCCCTTGTTTCACTGTCCCCACACCCAGGTTTCATGGAAGGTGTTATAAATGTGCTTCCCACAACCTCCATGACTAAATTCTTCACACCAGGGCTCCTCAAGTCAGAGTTCACAGAGCCACAGGGTCAGCATCATGTGGGGACCCATCCCAGGACTAGTGAAGAAACGGGATTCCTGGTGGTAGATTCAGGCCACCTCTGTTTTAACAAGTTCTCCAGGAATTCTTGTGCACACCAAAATTCGAGAAACTTTGCTTTCATTCTTCGTTTGGGAAGGCAGGATGCCCATGAAGGATCTAGTCAGTGCTGGAACTGGAGTGGCACTTGTCGGAAAGCAGAGACACATTCAGAGAATACGCACTACAATGTGGTTGTACACGGTGGGGCAACAGCAGGTTTACAGTTGTGAGTACGCAAAACATAGAATTTATTCCTGTGTTATTTATTGATTATTGCATTTTTTTCATACTAACAACTGTAAACCTACTTTTGCTGCATCCTTTGTATTTTCAAAGGATGACAGCATGAAACATGCTTTCATTAATGATTGTGGATGGGGGCTAAGCAGTATCAGCCATACAGTATTGGCGAAGAGGGGTCCCTGGCTGGTCTTGGCCTGCTACAAGGACCTTCCTCTTAAGAATTCTAATGTTTTAGTCCTGGTTGGTGTGGCTCAGTGGATTAAGTGCCAGCCTGTGAACCAAAGTGTCACCAGTTAAGTTCCTAGTCAGGGCACATGCCTGGGTTGCGGGCCAGGTCCCTGGTACAGGGCTCATGGGAGGCAACCACACATCGCTGTTTCCCTCTCTCTTTTCTCCCTCCCTTTCCCCTTTCTAAAAATAAACAAAAATCTTAAAAAGAAGAGTTGTAACATTTTATGCCATGGGCAGAGAGTAATACATTTCCTCTAATTTAAGTGATAAGTAATTTGGATTTTTTTATTTCAATATACCTAAACCAATAAAAAGAAAACCCATTTAGTCTGCATAAGATTGTGCAGTGAAATAATATTGCTAATTCTTTATATTCTGGGGTATGTTAAAGCCTAAGATATGGTCCCAAAATACGAGTTTCAAAAATCTCCTCAAATAAAGGATAACCAAACTGTGTATTATCATTTATACCCCCAAAGGCAGAAATAAGTAATAAAATTAATTTATCATTTGCTAATCAAAAGTTATTCTTAAAAGAGAGCATTGTTAATAAGAGAATGAAATTCTGGTCAACAAATATTTTCTGAGTATGTCCAACATGCCTTCAGTTATCTTAGGGCTTATGTCTCAGGAGACCTTAAAATTTTCAGACATATTCAAATGGAAAATCAAATCTGTGAAATCAACAAAGATGAGGTTATGACTGAAATAAAAGTCACAGATAGTGCTATGAGAAAAATGTTACTTTACTGAAAAGTTTCCCAAAAGCCTCTTTCATATCCCTATTCCTAAGGCTATAGATAAAGGGGTTCAGCATTGGTGTGACTACTGTGTACATGAGAGCTACAATGATGTCCTTGTCAATGAAATTGCTAAATGTTGGGAAAAGGTACTGCCCAAATATTGCCCCATAATATAGAGACACTACAGAGAGGTGGGACCCACAAGTGGACAGTGCTTTAAAGATCCCCTTGGTTGACGGAACCCTCAGGATGGTGGCCCCAATGTAGCCATAAGATACCAGGATACATATAAATGGCAGGGTTATGACCACCACCCCTACTGTGAACATGACCAACTCATTGAGAAAGACGTCTGAGCAGGACAGCTTGAGAAGGGCACCAAGGTCACAGAAGAAGTGGGGAATGGTATTAGCAGCACAGAAGGACAGCTGGGTCAGGAGGAGGGTGTGGGAAAGTGAGCTGGCACAGGACAGGATCCAGGACGCAGTCACTAGTAAGGCACACAGCTCTTCCCTCATGATGGTGGTGTAGTGCAGAGGGTGACAGATGGCAACATATCTGTCATATGCCATTGATGTAATAAGGAAGCTGTCCAGGTCAGTAAAAAATATGAAAAAATACATCTGTGCTATGCACTCTGCATAGGGGATGGATTTGTACTTAGTCTGCATGTCCATGAGCATCTTAGGGACAGTGACAGATGAAAAGGAGACATCAGTGAAGGCCAGGTGGCTGAGGAAGAAGTACATGGGTGTGTGCAGGCGGGAGTCCAGCCTGATGAGCAGGAGGATGAGCAGGTTGCCCAGCACCGTGGTCAGGTACATGCCCAGGAACAGGGCGAAGAATGCGCCCTGCTGCCCTGGCGGGACGGGGAGCCCCAGGAGGAGGAACTCGGACACGCCGCTCTGGTTCTCAGGCCCCATGGTCCTCCTCTGTCTGCTGGGGGTGAAGAATGGTTGAAAATATTAAAGACTGTAGTAATTATTTTTAGCCATATGAAAAATATGTTTTACTTCAGAAACTAGGAAACTTGTTTCTAATATGTTCCTTTCATGTTGTCAGTAAGGGAATTAGAAAAATTGTCAAGAGGTATATTAGTGTGAGGCAATTTTTCTTGGTTCTCTGACAAAATAGAACGTGTGCATCTGTGGCACTGATGACCAGACTACAGGATATGATGCCTCAGCCATGTCATTGCCCCAAGGATGCCCTGAGGGGAGTACTCTGAACCATCAACCATGGCACAGAGACCTTTAGAAGATTAGACTTCAGTACCCATTGTTAAATTTCAGATGAGAGGAGAATTTTTAAATAAAAGGATGCAAAGAATATATTATACTCCTTAAAGAAAACTCATTAATATAGATTTTTACTTATTTTGATTCGGGGAAAGATCTCTTAAGTAACTCTGGATTATGTTATTAATTCATTCTCCCAACTGCAGTGAGGGAGGTAGTTTGAAAGTATTAAGAGGTCTTCCTTAAACGCCTGATGTAACCACTTAAACAGTTGTGGAATGCCTAAATTCTGGCCTGTCCAGATCTGATGTTCTATGTTAGGATCCAAAGCAAGTGAAAATTCTGAAAGACTCTGCTTTCCTGTATCTGTTGTTATCTCTTGGGTCACTTTTATTTCTTTTTACCTCTCTCTTTCTCCCATTTGTCCCTTCATTTTATCTTTCTATCTCTCATTTTCTCCTTCCTTCCACTCACTCTCTCTGTCTCTGTACCTTCATTCTCCTGTTACTAAACGTTTCTTCCTCTTTCTCTTTTCTCTCACAGTCTTTTTCATTCTCTTTCCTCTTCCACGCCAAAATCATCTTTCTGATTCTTCCTCTTCTATACCCATAGATAAACTCACATATTGCTGAGGAAAAAAATACCCATTCCATTTGTAATACTGACCTTACCTGCATTTATGATCCAGTGTTTGATGGGTGTGTGTGCAGATTCTCTGTAGGCAACCTTAATATCAGCTTCCAAGGTCCTAGACAGTCTTGAGCATCAAAAAGAAAAGCTACAAGCTCAGGCTCTCACACTGCTCTCTACCAGTCTTAAAGCAATGAATTGAAGAGTATAACTAGCCAAGGAGAGAACCCTAGAGGGTAAGGGAGCAGAGCTTGTAATTTTCTTTTAAATACGTCCGTCAACTTCAATTAATTGTCCAACTTTACCCTTGATCCTTTAGAAAACATGTTTTGTGGGAGGGATGTTTGTGCTGGGGACCTTAGGGAATGAGCTCACAGGCAAAAGCTCTCAAGACACCCTCAGGCCCCCTTCAGTCCCCCTTCAGTCCCAGGCTCTGCTTTCCCAGCCTGAAGCACGCTCTGGCATAGGTTAAACTCCAGGGAGGTTAAAAAAGGAAGGACTAGCTCCAACCAGGTCCAGACAGAAAGCCAAATGAGTAAACGGCCTCAGAGAGTTTAGGTAGAACCATATCCCACTCGAAGTGATCTCATTGGGCACCTACCCACCAGCTAACCTAAAGGAAATGATTTTTGTGTTTTTTCTCTCTAATGATCATTATTAAATGGGAAGTGGAAAGAGACAGGGATAATCACCTTTTTTTGGAGGTTTTTTGTTCAAATGCTAGTGGCAATAAGCATTTGCTTGTAGGCTGCAGTTGTTTTGAGGAGAGGAACTATTCTCTGAGGCACCGGGAGCTTGTGCTTGGAAGGCTCGTGCCTTGATGTCAGTGGATGCGGGCGGGATAAGAGCAATTAAGCACAGCAGCGGTGCCTGCTAGGGCAGCTGGCTTCCTCTTCTTGAAGTTTGTCAGCCTGTGGGCTTTTTTCTTCCTGGACCACTCTCTCCCATGAGATTAGTAGTTCACAAAACTACTAATCTTTTTATTACCTATGAAAGAAACACATGATTATATAATGTTACGGTGGACAAATATTTTTAAAATAAATAAGTACTTCTACTCCCAACAACAAAATACCGCTTCTGTTCACATTTTGTAGCACATCCTTCCAGGTTTAAAAGTAATGGTAATCTGTGGTGTTGCGAATGGTTGTAAACATGCCTGTATGTGATTTTCTATTATGTTCTTTCAAAAATTATATCATAAGCTTTTCATAAACACAACTTTAATGATTATTTAATATTCCAGTGTGTATACTGTAGTTGCCTTAACACTTTCCCTATTGATGGAAACAGGCTGTAACTAATTAGTATCTTTTAAAATTATGCTGTAATTAGACATCTTTCTTCATAGAGCTTTTTCAGTACTGGGCAAAAAGTAGAAAATGTTATGCCAAAGCCTCCAAAACCAACTACCAAACTCCTATTTTGTTATAGATTTTGGCACCTGGATCAGTTTACTTCTCCCCTACAATTCACCGTCAACTTGGTTGCCATCAGCATTTGCATGAATGAACCAGTCACCATCATGACATACTTATTCTTTGATCTCATCTTCAATGACCTTGACTTCCATTGCATTTCTGCCATCTCAGCCCATGGCTGTATTACGAAGACCAGACTGCTTCATCTATAAAATATTAAATTTAAACACTCAATTTTTGCTTTTTTCCCATTCTACCCATTGTCCAGAACCTTTGGTCTCATAAATCTATCCAGTATCTGTTCCTGTCCATTTCCTCCATTTGTTTTGTCTTCACTATGATCCATTCAGGATGGAGTTCATGGCTTATCACTCTCTTACCCATGTGCCTGAGTCTTTATCATGTGACCTTTGACCTCCCCCTCACCTCACCATGTAGCAAAGCTTCAATGTTGGGTCATTTCAATCAGCCACCTTCCGCACTCGCTCACTCTTCATTTATTCCTCAGTCTACTGTAATCTGGATTCCATTCCCACGGCTTCCTGAGATTACTACCTGTCACATCACGCACAAATCCTCTTTAGTAAATCTAGTGGGTGTTTTCTTCTTTAACGCTTAAACCTCTCTTCTCTTAGTTCCCATGGCCCCACATTTTCATATTTTTCTTCCATGTCTCTGATTGTGCTTCAATATCTTTTTTTTGGATACTCTTTCTCTGCAATTTCTTTAATTGTCAGTGCTCTCTATGGCCAGTCCTCAACCCCGTTCTCTTTTCCTTCTCTCCTCTTTCCATTTCATTCTTGTCCTCTTTTCTCAACTTTTCTTACCTTATTTTTAGGAAATCTCATTCTCTCTTGTGTTGGTGGTCTGTGAATTTCCATCTCTATCCAAAATATATCCACCTACCTCCTGAATTTTTTTCTTACAAATGACCCATTGGTCTTTCATGCTTGGTGTGTTAAAAACTTTTCAGTTCTCTTTCTCCTTCCATGTTCCCTCTCAGTAAATAGCACGACCACACACTCCGTGGTTCAAGCCATACATTTAAAGAGAGGTGTTTAGGTCCTTTGTTTTCCTCATTTACTATAGTCTAACCAAAATTAACTCGCACCAAAATTACCTACCATGTCTTTTAGATTCTGAATCTGAAGGAAACTTAAATACATTTAGTTCTCCCCAACTCCATTATCTCTCTTAGATATACTTCCATAATCTCTTACCTAAATGACTGTAACCACTTCCTAACTAGTCTCCTTGCTTCTGGTCTTGGATTCATCACTCCATCCTTGCCTTGCCAATATACCTTCCGTTCACCGCAAACACATCCTTATCATCCATTCTTCACCTGTAGTGATAATTTCTAACATGACACTGTCAATATTCTCATCAAATTCTCCTTTGGCTCTCCTTTTCCTTTTGGATAAAGTACAGATTGTTCAGTGTGGCTTCCAAGGTTCTGCATGATTCATTCCTGCTAATTTCCCTGGTCTCATCCTGAACTTCTTCCCCTGTTGAAGTGTACATTTCAGCCATTTTAATTTTGCTGATAATAGTTTTCCAAATTGACCATCTTTTGTTTTTTCTAGGTCTTTTTCTATTCCTCTCTTTTTCTCCCTTCTAAGTGGTCTTTCTCTACTGTCCATGTCACCTTCTACTTATTTTGGTTATCTTGTGTGTGTATTATCTTATAAGCCTCCCTGCTTGACCCCTTAAATTTGGGTTTGATAGCCCTCCCTTGTGCTCCCATAGCACTCAGCACTCATTACAGACTTCATTATAGCATTTGACACATGCTGGTTTGTCGATCCTGCTAACTAGATTGGGCTCTTTGAGAAGAAAAAAAACCCCCAAAACCCTGCGTTTTCGAATATATATACTCACAGTTCTCACAAAAATTCTTGTTACATAGTAAGTACACACTATTTTTATGCATGAATGAATTACTGAAAAATGATGAACAAAATGCTGTCTCCTCCCCTTGATTCTGTAAGTCTTCTCTGTGTTTGCCAGACTTAATGCAGTAGGTTTCAGAAGGCTTCTCACATTCAGTGTTATGGTTAAAGAATAGATTTTTGAAACTGAGGATGTGCCAACTATTGTTATGTGTCACAACTGGCAAAACATATCACTGCATGCATTCAGGTGTTTCTGTAGGAAGAAAAAACCTTCTGAGAAACAGAAATCCAGCCATCCTTTGAAAAGTGTTTTTATTCCCCAGAGATCAGTAGCAGCTCTGCTCCCAGTTTCAGATTGAACGTGAGAAGGAAGAAGTCCATGTGCTACAGAACCCGCTCTTTCAGGGGAAGCTTCATGGTGCAGCGGAACTAAACTTAACGTTTGAAGCTAATGTGTTTGGGTTTGAACCCTCATTTGGCCATTTTCTTTTGAGCCACTTTTAAATGCAATAGCATTAAGAAAATGCAGCCTACTTCAAGAATTATTGTGAGGGTTAAACAAGCTCATAGATATGAAAATTCTTTATAAATAAATGAATCTGAAGATGTGAAAGGTCTCATTTATATTCCCAAGGGAGTTGACTATCTTTAGTCTCTGGCTAAAGCACATATCCACTGGGAATGGTGAAGGGAAATGAAGTAATTACTCCAAAATTGTCTTTCACCAGAAACGTGTGGCCTTGGTCTC